CGATCGGCTGCCCCCAAGGTTGCGGGTCGGGCCGGCCGCCCTGAGGCCTGACAAGTAATCGCACACAAAGGCAGGTCTGCCGGCGTGGCTGCTCGCCGTCGCCCGTTATCAACGGTTCTCGGCCAGCGCTGCCCGGCCGCATCACATGGCCATGAATGCATTATGCAACGGCCCTGTGCTGTGTGGAAGCGGATTTATTTTCCATTAGGGCCCCGGACAGCCTGGCTCGTCTGACTTTCCCTGCAATTAACAAGGATTTCATTGTATTGCCTGTGTTGTGCATATACATATTGTCATCATGACTGAAACCACATCGCCAACACCGCCAAAACCCAAATCGCCCATGTCGCCCACGGCACCACCACCTGCTACTGCTGCGGCGGCGCCTGAGGCTTCGGATTCACAACCTTCGACCTCGTCGCCCCGTGATCAGCCAGAGCCTGAAACTCAAAATGATTCCGCTGCCCCATCGACCTCTGCTCCTCCCAACCCGCTCCCAGTGGATCTGCCGCCACCGCCGCCTGAATTAGTATGTTCCTGCTTTCCGAAAAGAGATAATATAAGCATCTGATCAGCGCTGCTCATCGCCGTGCTTTTTGGAGGGGGACGACGATGACCCGTGGGGGGAATTCGGTGTCGACGATGACAAGTATGTCGAAGTCCAGCCTAGACGCTCTGCAATTAAGAGCGATTGCTGACTTGCTGAAGTCGGAGCGCGTCATCGGCGTCGATAACGTCCAGCATTACGCGATACCGCTGGGAGAACGGTCGCCGATACCATGCGTATAAAGACGGCGCATATTGGTGAGACGGCCCTAGGATGGAAGTTTCTTATTATTCATTGATATTGATATTATATTATATGTCAATCAGGGGCCCCAACGACGAAAAAGCAGCCAACCACCTCGACATCGCGCACCACCTGTTCCTGCTCACGCTGAAAAACAAGCTGCACCTGGCGCCCATCGGCGACAACCCGCAGCGCGTGCTGGACATCGGCACGGGCACGGGCATCTGGGCCATCGACTTTGCAGACCAGTACCCGTCCGCGCAGGTCATCGGCACCGACCTCTCGCCCATCCAGCCGTCGTGGGTGCCGCCCAATCTCAAATTCGAGATCGACGACGCAGAGGACGACTGGATGTACCAGAAGAACAGCTTCGATTTTATCCATGTGCGCAGCCTGTTTGGTTGCATTGCTGACTGGCCGAGGTTCTACCGGCAGGTTTTGAGGTAGGTACACCAACAACCGAACCTCCTGCCTATGCAGACCCTGCTGATTGAAGCAGACACCTTAAACCCGGCGGCTACTTCGAGCAGGTCGAGATGGCCCCAGGCTTCAAGTCAGACGACGGCTCGCTCGACCCCAACACGCCGTACGGCTACTGGCACGACCTGGGCGTCGAGGTAGGGCGCAAGATGGGCAAGTCGTTCGAGACCATGTACGAGATGAAGGGCTTCATCACCGAGGCCGGGTTCGAGGACATCCACGAGACGACGTACAAGTGGCCGATCGGCCCGTGGATGGAGAGTCGCGAGGACAAGGAGATCGGCATGTGGGCGCGCTTCCACATCGAGGAAGGGCTGGAGAACTGGGCCATGGCGCCGCTGACCCGCGTCATGGGCTGGAAGAAGGAAGAGGTCGAGATCACCATCATGTATGTCAAGCAGGACTTGAAGAGGAAGGATATCCATGGCTACCATGAGATGCGGGTCATCTATGGCCGGAAGCCGATGAACTGGCGAGAGCCGCGCGACTAGCCGGAGATAGATTTATATAGTATAGAACTATAGTTTTCTAGAGTCACCATCTATATACTTCTTGGTTTCTTAACCTTAGAGCCTTCTTTTTCTATATATTTAGCTATAAATTAGTATTATAATTTTTATATAGGTCTGTCTTACCTACCTCCTTTTTCTCCCTATCGCAACATCTTGTAGGCAACCCTTGTTATGAGCTTGCAATACAGCTGCTGTTAGGCTTGTCCCAGATTGACGTTCAATTATGGTCATCGTGCTCATGACTCTACTACATCTTTTCATTCAAGTGGAGAAAATTACTACGTCTTGCTCGGAAATATCGACCATAAGCAGGTAGTATTGAACTGCAGAAAAAAGAAAAAAAAACAAGATGTACTGAACCTGAGTATCATGACGCCCATTTATCTCAATTGTGTAAAACATGAACCTATAGTCTTCATCCTGTGTGGCAAGTTTTCAGAACAGATCCTTAGTGATGATGGTCAAATATAGCAAGTCTGTATAGAACCACCCCAGCAACCGCTCCAGAATTCCTCTTCCACGAACAACGTAGCATAGCTGCACAGACTACAGTTCTAGAAAGGACCACCCTAGCAGAAGGGCTCCTAAGACAAAGAATATCAAAACTGCCACCTCAGAACAACCACAAAGTGGTATCATCAGCATAACAATTTTAAGTATGTACATACAACCGACTGACTCTAATTATAGCATATTAGCACATTCCCTGTAGACCTGAAACAGAACACTGAGGTCAGTTTCTGTCAAATAGCACAAGTCTCTGTATTATTGACTTCTACACCTAGCTTAATACCCAGTAGGAGGAGCAGAGTTATATAACTAAACTTTATCAAGTAACTACCTATTTCTAGAAGTCAGCAACTAAATTACCTACGCCATATAGCAGTTTAACAAACATACTTTAAAAGCCAGTTCCTGTCATCTCTTGCCACATACCTAGCCTAAGTGAGTATGACGTTGTTACTTTCGTCGGTAGGCACCTAGCTCCTTAGGTGGTCGATGGGGCGAATGGATGATCCATTCCTAGATACCTAGATCACATGGATAATCCATGACATTTTTCGGGATAGTCCATCTTATGGATGTATGTATGTAGATGGAGGATCCTTCATCATTTCCTCATCAAGTGGCCTTGCAAACAAATTGTCTTTCCCGTATGAACCTCTGAGACATAATTTTGCAGCCGTCTGCCTATCAGACTTTAATATAAGATGCCATGCAGTCTTCAACTAAATATTTCGCGTTGTTCTATCACTTATAAGCCCCGAAGGCTTGCTGCCCTGAAATCTTCCCTCCATGGAAGATCTGAGAATGATGTGTTGCCTACCTTCTGCCAGTAACTAACATAATCGTCACATCTGTAGCTATGCCTACGGATATCCTACTGAGACGTAAATGACGCCTCTGGATACAAAGAGCCGATAGCCGCATAACAGGAAACCTGGATCAATACAAAGAAAACAGAGGAGGAGATTACTTATAACAAAAGGCCACGTTGACATCGCTGGAAATTGTCGAAGATTGATGCGTTAGATCGCTCTTTATGCTGGATTGCTGCTCCGATTGACAACGTTGCGCATCCCATATGACTGAAACCATTTTAGTTCGGACCAGGACAAGGTTGAGAAATCTCAGTTCAGTAGGCAAAAGGGTTATTGAGATGAGGAGAAAGATACTTAGATTGTAGCAGGAGGTGGGCGAGAGAGGTGCTTATATGCCGGAAGCGAGCCCGCGGACCTAGCCCTGGGCCCTAAGCCCTAGGTCTGGTGGCTGACCAAGCATGTCACCGAGAAGAAATGGGCGATGGAAACGTGGCTGTCTCTCGAAAAACTGGCTCAGCTTAGGTACCAGACTATCAGTGCGTTGGGCTCAAAAATAATCTCTTGACGGTGAGGTCCGAGGGGCATACAGATTTAAGCAATACTAACACTACTACTTTGATGAGATATATGTATTCTCATGGAGATTCCGCAGCAGTGCTATGTGTTGATGTTGGTGTCCAGGATACTTCATATACACATACAATATTTGTGGATTCGGAGTACCTGCTGTGGGCATCATGTGAAGAAGATCCTATTACATATATTGGTGATGCACTTGGTCCTCAATCGCACAATGTCCTCCTTCCCTGCTCTATGCTTTCGTTTCCTCCCAGAAACTCGCGGTGGAGCCCTTTCAGGTTCATCGAGTAGTGCACTTGAAACAATCCGTTCCTCCTGTCTGGAAAGCATTGTATGATCTCATCTAATGTCAGTTCCTCTGTTTCCTTCAGCTTGACAGGCAGCCCGTCCTCCTCAAGAGAAAATGGAGTTCTTTGAGAGAATCTGTCGTCCGCTTTCCTTGTACTCCCTGTTTGTGTCTGCTGATACAAGGCAGCAAGCGGAAAGAGCACTGCTTCAAGTGTTCAGCCCTTTCGAACAAGAAAGACTTTCTGATTTTGTGAGGATAAAATGTAACTGGTACAACTGACTGTTTCAATTCAAGAGTAACCATTACTGCACGTTTGGAATGAAATTTGCCCAACTCGTCACATAAACTGAGTCTGGCATCAATCGGAGGCAGGAAAATGCCAATATGATGATAGCTACCCTTGTGATACAATAGACAATGCCCGTTGCAGACAAAATGATAATTGGCCACCGCAACGTCAGCTGCGGATATGAGTCCAATCTGTAAGCGTCTTTTGGGTAGGTGTCCTCTTGCATCATGTTCAATAGCCGCTTGAACTGGTCATGAAATTCCATGGGAAACAGATCCTTCCGTTTCTTGATAAAGTCGCCAAGGCTCTTGAAGAGTTGTTCATTCTCATTGTTCCTGAAAATATCCTTGTAATATCGCTTTTCAATATTTTTTGGATCATCGTAGGCCTCCTCCAAACTTTTCAAACATTTGAGAAGATTAAGACGTGCTTGTTGATCAGCCTCTTGCCAGGCGAACTCTCGAATTGCAAGTAAACAACTTCCCATGAAGTTATATGGATTCAGGACCTCTACCCTCTTATGGAGAGCGGCGCACACTGGAACAAGGAGAAGTGCAATTGGTGGTAGACCAACTGATACCAGAACTGCTGTCCTCCACAGAATCTGTTCAACATATGTAGGAAATTCAAAGTTCCATGCTATCAAATGGATGCTTCCAAAGACAACTGTAGTTGCTGTCAATGGATAAAGAACAGGATGCAGTTCTGAGAATACTCCAAGAAGATGGGTTGAAATGTGGTGTCTGAAATGTCGTGGTAGGTAATCGTTCGGAACGCGGTCTTTGTATATTTGTTAAACATCACCTTCAACATGCCTCACAACCTGCCAGAATCTGTCGTATTGTCGTATTTCGAGACCATTGGATTTTTCTCCACCAAAGCTTTCCTTGGGTATGATGACTGTGGCTGTTTCGACACCCTGTGGCTTGTACCATCGAGCGATGTAGGTAAGGACACCACATATCGCAAAAGCTAAGGTGACCAGCTCGAGTTGGGAGAAGGCCAGGCCTCTTCCAGCTCTGACTATGATTGAGAGCAATAATATGGATATCTGTACCATAGCAATGGCTTTCGTGAAAATGTCTGCTTTACTCTTATCTTTGATGTCGTCCTCCGAGAGTTGAGGCTTTTTAATATCTTTCCAGCATTTGGCAAGTTGATCCGCGGTCAGAGTCGAAGCCGCCTTTCCTTCGCCTAGGCGGAAACCGCCCATATTCGCGTAGTAGGAGTGCGTTAGCGTCCATTCAAATATGGCTGATCCATCATTGGCACGTTCAACCTCAGGCTTCTGCTCTTTACAGCGATACCACCACGGATACTTAACATGGACCTTAGATATTTCACCCATAGCTTTCATGGAATCCCAGGCCATTTTAAACTCGAAGATTGAATGAGCCATAAGAAACTCAGGGAAGAATATCGTCAACACGGTCCACTTGCATTTGCGCAGTAACTTTATCCAGTAGCCATCTTTTGGATCTGGGATATTCAGATGCTGAATGCTCCATGTGCAGGCCAATATAGTGAAAACACAATTCTCAATGATGTCAAGAGTCCCACGACGATTAGGATTGGCTTACCAACCAACTGATTTGTGTTCATTCCCTTGAGAGGCTTCGGCAATGATTTGGGCCGCGGAAGACATGGCAGGTAAGCACATCGCAGCCAAAAAGGAGAAACAAGTTGCTAGCATGACAAAAGAACGTAACTGACTCCCAAAAAATGTAGTGCTGAGTTTGGAGAATGTGTTCGTTACTATTTGCTGAAATTGCGATGTAGAAAACCTTAGTATATCAGTAAGTTACCTGAGAATATATGGACATACTCTAGCTGCATCGCCACTTATGTTTACTGCAGCTTGACACTAAAGAAAAGAAAAGGAAAAAAAAAAGGTAACGACAATAAATGTTCTGCATGTGATATTTATGGTAGCCTTGCGTTTTTGAGAAAAAGCAAAATTGAGAGATAAGGGATAATTGGATGGAGCTTTCCACTAGCAATGCAAATGTCCATATTTAGTTCCGAACACATTTCCTAATATGGAACTATGTTGCGATGGAGCTAGCCCCAAAGAGCGTCAAAGGCTTTTCTAACTAATTTTTGGGCTTTACCTATCCACCTATACATGAATGCTCAGCCAAGCTGGCCGGCGTCAGGCCCCCCAGGCTTTTTCTACGCTCTTCAGTAAGGAACTGTCGCTAGGCACAGTGGCTGGCTGGAGACACGTCGAATCTCCACATAACGTGAGGACCTAATATCTTAGGTACTAATATTGGTAGGCACCCTCGTGAGTGAGTAATGTGTTATATACCAACCTTGACTTTATCTACTACAACTACATCTCCTACAGCTTTTTGACCAGCTTGGTTCATCCTTCCAGAAGCAAGTTGAGGCATATTAATATTGATGTCTTTATCACTTGCTCGTCGCTTGCAAGTTGCTGCAAAGAAGGGGAAAGTGTCCAATTAGTCAGCACCTGCCACGCTTAATAGTGGAAAACAACCAACCGTTATATTAGGCAGCATTTCAACGTGGACCAGAACCTACTATGAACAATAAACTCAAATGGACGGCTCTACACGAGGCGGCAGCCAACGGCGTTGATGAGAAGACGCGGCGGTTACTTGAGAATGGGGCTCGTATCGAGGCAAAGGATAAATCGGGAAGGACTGCGCTGCACTGGGCAGCAAAGAATGGCCAGAAGAAAGTGGTGCAACTCTTGCTTGAGTATGAGGCCAACATTAGATCTAAAGATACTATATTTGAAAAAACAGCGTTGCATTGGGCAGCGAAGAATGGGAAAGAGGAAGTGATAAATGAGCTGTTAAAAAAGGAGACTGGCATCATCAGCACAGAAGATAAATACCAAGCGACAGCGCTACACGATGCTGCAGAGAACGGGCACAAGACATCGACAGAGCTGTTGCTCAATCAAGGGGCCGATATTGACGCAAAGGATAAGGAAGGCCGGACGGCACTACACTGGGCAGCAAGGAATGGACACGAGGACGTGGCGCGGCTGTTGCTCGATCGAGAGGCCGATACCACTGTGACAGATAGGAATGAAGACACGGTGCTGCAGCAGGCCGCAAGGTCTGGCCATGAGGCCATGGTGCGACTGTTGATGGACGAGATGACCGCAAAGAAAGGACAGGAGGCGGTAGCGCAGCTATTGGAGCAGGTGAAGACCGACATCACTGACATGGATAAAGGTCTTGGAAGGATATTTTTTGGGAGATGGACATCGGGAATCAGGCGGTGGCTGAGTTTTTGCTTAAGAAGGACATTGACATCACTGTGGGAGACAAAGATGGTCAGACGCCGCTGTCACGGGCGGCAGAGAACGGGCATGAGGTAGTGGTCAAGCTGCTGCTGGATACAGGCAAGGTTGAGGCAGACTCAATGGATCAGCGGGATCGGACACCACTATCATATGCAGCACAGAATGGGCATAAGGAAGTGGTCAAGCTGCTGCTAGATACAGGCAAGGTTGAGGCAGATTCAAGGGATGGAGAAGGTCGGACACCACTATCATATGCAGCACAGAGTAGGGATAAGGAAGTGGTCAAGCTTCTGCAATCGTGGAACGTCCCCCCTTAGCCTCCTCACTGCCAACCCTGCTGCTGACCTTCTCCTATATGTAACTTTGAAGTGGCGAAAAGGATGTTGTCAAATGACCCTTTAACTGCATCATGCAATGAAGCCAAATAATATCTTGCCCCATGGGTGTTGTAAACCAATGACTAGAAAAATGGGCATCATTTCCCAAGGGCTTCATACTGTCACGGCTCAGTCAGATATGAAGAAAATCATAGTGGAAGCTATCTAATGAAGATTCGAAGCTAGAGAGGAGAAGAAGAAGAAGAAGAAGAAGAAGAAGACTATCTCCAAGGGGTCGAGAAGAGATATAGACACATTATGTCCGAATTATCTAACTTTGGAACTAGCATTTACAACAAGAAAGAGGCCAAGGCCAATCTGAGGAACAAGCAGTTCCAAAATTACTGGCGTCCAGCCTGCATGAGTACCCTATTCATACTGTTCGCCTTCATATGAGTCTCTACCGATTCCAACAACTCACAGGATATCTTCATATCTCCCATACGGAGTTGTATGGGAACTGGCCAGACAAACACCTCTCTGTAGAGCAACACAATAGGACGAACAGCATTGCTAAGTGAGCCGGTTCTTACGACCCTTCGCATAGCGTCAAAACGATATTTCATCCCATTGTCAAACATCTCCATCGACGAGCTAGTGGTTTGGAGTTTTGGGCGGTCCTCTCATACATATAAGATATGCCTAATAAGCCTATCTCGCAAGGCTATAAAATCTTTGCCTTTATAGATCATGGTTATATCTTCAAGTCATACGGCCGGGCTTATGGAAACCATCAAACATAAAGACCTCACAATGACTGGATCTATGGTTCTTTGATTAAAAAACTGCCACGCCATAACAAACAATATACAGTATATCTTAACAACTACTTTACAAGTATTTCCTTGTTCAAAACCCTTCAAGAGATGAGTATAGGAGTTAGTAGAACAACGAGCCCTTATATAGCTGGCGAAGACTTTCCTCTGCTATTGAAAAGCCTCAAAGACTATGTGACCTATATCCTATATAACATGGGTTGTGTAATGGAGGTTCAGAAGGTATTTTGCTTTGCCTGGCAATACAATAATATTTTACTAGGCTTGTCAACTATTCACACTATGGATGAGCATACAGACTTTATTGAGTGGGATCGACGGCGGCCTATAAAGACAAGTACAAATGCCAGTATCGTTCGTCCAGGATTTGGAGAGCATGGAAAAAGATTTAGATCCCTCGCGTTATTGACGATTATAACCACTATCTAGGAGGGGTCGACATTGCAAATCAACGCCGGGCTACAATGAGACTCATCAACGAACCTATTGCTCATGGTGGCCACTGTGGAATTGGTTATTGGACACAGCTGTCATCAATGCATATAAAATCCAGTGCATATGGCGACAAGCGCGTTAGATCCAGAAGAGCTCTCATATTAGATTTCGGGAATCATTATGTTAAGAGTTATTCAAGTTAAAAGCGGCTGTTCCCCCCAAAAAGCGGACAGCGAAGGAGATAGATCTACCAGCATGTCGATTGGATTCTTTACTACCCCATGATCTTTCTTGAAGATCCAAAGGTCGTATGTGTTGTATATGGTGTCTCTATATAATTAACAAGCGATAGCGAGGTTCCAATTATCAAAAACATGATGCCATGTAGATGACGACATGGGATTGCAAAGCGTGCTAGGTGCCACTATGCCAGCTGGACTCTGGGCAGGCCTGTTGGAGAGAATTCCATACTCTTAACGATGTTATATAATTACCTAATGAGAAAATCATATTTTGTATATTTTTTGAACCATTCTGGGCAAGTAATACAATAGAATCTATTGGAGTTCTGTCGAATTCTTACCTAAAATTATATGGTATTTGCGATAGTGTTCCAAAATAGGTTTTATAAGGATTCGGGCAGTATGCGCAGGAACCAATGAGACGCGGCAGGTAAAAAAAAAACATGCTCATTTGCACAAGATGGTTACAGCCAAGGGGATATACGACTAGCGAATCTTTAAGGTAGCAGTAGAAGAGGCTGTATATGTGTTTCTAAACTAATGAGAGATACGGAATGGCTAATTTCAGGCTGTTAGCGGCGCAAATGAGAGCATTAATAAACTAGTAATAGTGGAGAATATGAGACTAGTCTGCTATAGCTAAAAGTAGCCTTGTGATATCATCATTGATACCTATCATGTATGTGTTGATGGATCGGTCATAGATAGGATGGATAAATCCACGTAACCTTGCACGTGCTTGAGGTAGACTTGGCTTTTACTAAGGAACAAATTAAAGAAAAAAAAACTAAGTTGTTTAATATTAACAATTTCCATTAAGATGCTTATATGCATGAAATTAATGACATGAGCTTAGTACATCGCTGACAATAAATGATAGAGTAACGAAATTAGGCGGAATTAAATACTCAGTGTAGTAGAGAACTTGATTAAAGAGCTGCCCGATACAACTAAGAACTAGTACTACTCACTTAGGTAAACTTCGGATATGGCTGTCATATACGTAGAGAAGAGCAATGGCTATTCCTTTTCCAATTTCACAGTCCACTCTCGCTGTGTCATATCGACCTCAACTTCATCCACATTTCAAGTGGCTTTTTCTCGACCAGGAGGAATGTCCTCAGCTCCTCCCACTTTAGCTTCTTCCCCTCGATCGCCTCGAAATCGAATGTCCACAGTAACTTTGCGAGCACCAGCCGCATCTCCGCCCACGCAATGTGTTGCCCCATGCAAGCCCGTGGACCGACGCTGAACGGCTGGACAGCGCGGCGCTCGTCGTGGAAGGAAGGGGAGTTGGGATCCGTGCTGGCTTCGGGGAGCCAGCACTCGGGGAGGAAGGATGAGGCAGAGTGGAAGTATGTTGGATCGCGGTTGAGAGAGTATGCTTGGATAGAGACTGGGGTCTGATGGAGATTGGATTCTCATTGAGAGGGAATAATAGATGGAGCCAGAGAGCATGATGAATTAACTTACGCCGCCAGATAGCCACACTCCGCATACAGTATCACCACCCACCGGGACTCATCTGGGGAGCATCCATGGAACGGGTGGGCAGAGCCTTAGGCCCTCACTGAGAACGGTATTGAGGTAGGGGAGATTCCGTACGGCCTCCAAGGTAATTTCGTTTCCGCTCTGAAAGGTCTTGCGTACCTCTTTCTCGAGGATAGCGAGTTTATCTGGATTGAGTCACAAGATAATTCAGCGTACCACACAGGACGGCCGCCGTGGTTTCACTTCCAGCAGTCGTCAGGATCATGAAGGTTGCATTAATTTCACCGATTGGCAGTCCGATTTCGCCATTTTTGTTGATTACATGGGACATGATGTCCGGTCGCTCGAGCTCCCAGTTGAGCGACGCTGCACCTTGTCCACAATCTGCTGGTAATAATCCACCTGTGTCTTCTTGAGCGACGGAGGCACACACTTTATGAACAAGGATTCCACCCAGGGGATAAAACCGTGCGGCGGCAACAAACGAAGCGGCTTTCACGCTGTTGAGAAGCAGCGCAATCCACGGGTGATATCGCGAGTGCTGGAGGCAGTCGAAGGACTCGCCAAATCCCAGGTCTCCGAAGATATCAAAGGTGGTGTAGTTGAACCATGGCGCAATGTCAATTTCTACTCCCTTGCCGTCCTCGGCTTCGCTCACCCGCTCGTGCAGCCGTACAATGAGTAGACTGACATACCTTTGCACTATCGGTTCCTGGGCCCTCAGTGCGCGTGGTGTGAAGGCCGGAGTGAGGAGTTTGAGTATGCGGGCATGCAACTCAGGATCGATGGCAGTGAGCAACGAGTCTGGCTGGTCTGGCCGCCTCTTCCACCAGATAGGGTCCTTTAGAAACTGCTGGTGGTCTGGACGAATTTGGAAGATATCCGCCCAGGCTTCCGCTTTGGAAAAGGTGACCTCATCTGGCGCAATTCGTAAGATGGGTCCATATCTCCGGTGAACCTTTTCGATGTCGTGCACGATGGTCCCCTTGAGAAGGGCCCATACAAAGGGGAAGTGTGAGGCCGACCAACTGCGAGGGCCGGGGATAGGGGCGAGAGGGTGGAAGTAGAGGTTGTAGATGACTTTGAAGAGGGGATACTAGATGCCATCAGTCTTCTCCCAGGCCTATGTTTAAGATCCATACCGCTAGCAACAACACTAGAGCCACGCCCAAGCGGCCTGTGGTTGCAAGGAAGTCATTCAAGACCATGTTGATGGTGTTCGCTGAAGTATGGAATCTGAAACTCCGACCACGGTGTAAAACAGTCATAAGATGTGAAGACGAAGTAGGAGAAAAGGAGAAACGAGTTTGACTTCACGCCTTGAGGGTGATTTCCGACAGTTATACAGGTCGCCAGCTCACCAGGTCGGTGGGAATAGCAGACACTGGTAATGAGCCGGTAACAGAGTAGTATTTATCAGGTTTTTCCAATATAATTGGTCACCAGGTTGGCAATGTTCTCACCAGGTCATATTTTTGGTATTCGAGTGTCTCACCAGGTTGCAACTTTGTATTTTTGTATAGTTTATTAATAAGACCTGCTTGCTAACCTACAGGGATTAGTTGGGACTGGTTATTGCTGCCCAGTAGTTATAGTGACCTGGTGAGTGTCTTTGGAAAGTCGAAATACATAGCATAGGTATTATATAAAATCCAATATAAAACTATTTTAGTGTATAGGTGATACATATTTGAAATACCTAGTTCCTCTTAGTAGTGAGCAGGAATAGTATATATTATTATTACTGGTTAAGGGGGACGCTGAAGGATGAACTGCTGAGAATCGTGAAGGGCCATGATAGGACAAATGAGCGAAGCTACATAATGAATCACGTTCAAATAACTTTGACATAGAAATGCAGCTGAGACATGACAATATCAGGTGCGCATGAAGTTTTGTATTGTGTAAATGCAGAATATAGTATTAGGCACTTTTATTATATATAGGGTTAAAGGTAGTTATATACGTTGTTATTAAAAAAAAATGTCAGGAGCAGCACATGCACATGCTGTATATATATACTATTCAGTTCCAAGCACAAACTTAATCCCCTTGACCACATTCGCCCCAAACGTCCGTCCCGTCTTCAAGGACGGAAAGACGAAAAAGTAGTGCGGGAACCCCATGTAATGGTCTCGTTTCACCTTGACGCCCGCGTCTTTCAGCGCGTGCTCCAGCACGATGCCGTCGTCCCGGAGGATGTCCTTTTCGCAGGTGACGAGGTAGACGGGCGGGTAGGACGCGAGATGCGGCGAGATGGCGACGAAAACGGTGGCGTCGGTGGGTTGGGCGCCGGCACTTTCTGCGTGTGTGTTAGTATTCGTATACAGATAGACATCACCTAGGTAAGCGCTCACCAAACGCTACATCCATGCAATGGCGGTCGATGAGAGGGACGTCCACCGCGTTCTCCGTGTACGACTTGTACAGGTGCTTGTACTTGGCTGGCGGATTGTCCATGTGCGAGGTAATGGGGTTCATGGCGACAGTGCCCTGGATGAGATGTCGCTGGCCGTTCCGCACGAGCTTGTCCGTGACCGCGAGCGCGAGTCCGCCACCAGCCGAGCCCCCGATGGCGAAGAAGGCGTCAGGGTTGCCGTTCAGCCTGGCGGCGTTTTCGTGGGCCTGTCCTCGCATTACTACTGTTATTCGTCATGAATAGATGGAGAAACTCACCCAGAGATACGCATCGTAGCTGTCGTCGATCCCAGTCGGGAGCTTGTACTTGGGCGCCAGCCGATAGTCGACACTGACGAGGATGCACGGCGTCTGCTCGGCGATGAACCGGCAGATGGCGTCCTCAAAGTCCAGGTTGCCGCTGATGTAGCCTCCACCGTGATAATACACGCCGACGGGGAGTTTCTGGCCGGCCGGGTTGGGGTCGGTGGGGGTGTAGATGCGGACGGTGACGTGCTCGTTGATCTTCTCGTCGTCTGTAGAAGCAAGTCAACGATATTCTAGAAATAAAATAAGAAACGAGACGGATATGCTGTACGAGCTTGCACCGCGGCAGAGGGAGGCCCCCACTGCTCTCCCAGGACGGCGCCTAGGCTGTTGTACTGCGAGATGATGGAGTGGACGTCACCGGTAAGAACAGGGCGCTTTCCGAGAGAAGCCTCGAGCTGTTGCCGTTAGAATAAGAAAAATATAACGGTAACAGGACTAATGACAGGTACTCACCTCCAGCCATTCGGGGTCGTATCCTTCGGTAGTCATGTTGCTAGCAGTGTCAACAAGCGGGGTTGTCTTCAAGGACTACGAATGAGAAAAAAAAAAAGAGAAACCACAACAGAACAACTGATATTGACAAAGCAGAATAACTATATTTATATCTATAATTCAACGTTTAACAAGATTATTTCCCTTTTTCCCATGCCGTTGGGGGCTATCAATTGCTCTATACATATACGTGCTCGACTTAAGAACCTGAGTAGGAGGCTGGCTACACGCTAGGATAGCGCACCGTCATCGTACGCAAGGTACCCCACTCGCTCGCACCGATCGACAGGCTGGCAGGCTGGCAGGCTGGCAGCAGACCCTGGCAAGGGACAGATAACATGCGCTGCAGTGTAAATCGTTGACTCGGGCCGAACCCGTCGAGCTGGTCTTAAGACATCAACATATCTATCTGCTTTTGAGAACAAGGATTTAATTCACAGCTTGTCTGAAATATTTTATTTCCATGACAGGCTTCACAGGCTTAAATTTAGGAAATGACTATGACCTATCACTAGTACTAGCCCGGCCATGAATTTGGGAAATGCCTTAGTCCATTGGGTCCCAACCGAGGGGGGCGGCCCGAGCCCAGTCCATCCCAACCGGTGGGTAACGTTGGTTAGGTCCCCTTCATCATCCGTCCTGCTGGAATCACGGTGAGAGCCCCTCGTCTTGCATTGTATTGGGAAGGAGTCTGCCTCCTTTAAATCTATCCTAGACCTAGTCGTAAATGGAGGTAGTAAAAGGTTAGTCCTGCAGTAGTACTACTGCTAGATTCCGCACCCAAAACTTGGGAATTCAAAAATTCCCAACAGTCGGGTAGACGTTAGGGACATGTAGCTGGTATTTTAGCATGGTCTTGGCAATAATTTCCTAAAAAATTAATAACATTAATTTAAGTAGAGTACTGTACGGAGTACGCCGTCAGGTGATCAAACCCTGTAGTTTGTTCTCTAGAGCCAATCTATGACGTCAATGAAACATTTTCTTGATTTGCATTTTCGACATTAAGCACGGATGGATTATGTGTCTGTGCGTGTATATAGTTGTCCGGATGGATAACAGACGTGGCTCCACTCCAATGACAGGTCCGTCTGTTGTGTGTCCGTGGGTTAGAACGGACAGTAAGCATGCTCTGCATTGATCTTGCCGAACAGGGAAATATCCTTCCGAGGTTGAAGACCTGTCATAACAATAGCAGTAGATAGAGACATGTCCTTATCGAGTCTAATATATACTATGTACAGTACAACGTAATCTAGAGAGAGGCTACTGCTGCAGTATCCAGCCTTGATGTAGTGGCGAGGCTGATAAAGACATGCGTTGTCTTCGATTAAGCAGCAGCAGGTATAGAGGTCTCTGCATCGAGATGGACACAGTCAGCTAATCCGGTATGCATTTATAGATGATACGGCAGTCTAGGATTGGTTGCCGCTTCTTGCTGTTTGATAGACAAGACAGAAGCAGCAAGTATTAAGTAGACTGACAATCACTCTCAAAAATCAATAGATTACGCAGAGAATTCTTGGGAAATCATGTCGATCTTCCCTCGTATTTTCTGTACCCGTCGCGCGTCACTTGATCGTGATTCTTGAAGATTGCGTCGCCATGGTTTGTGTCTAAGGTCAGATCTACATAACATTACATTCCTCAGAATGATTTGTCGCCTGCTTTATTAGTGACTAGGTCTGGTGTATATTGCCATGGTCATGTTGTAATGTGGCCTGGCTTAATGTTTTTGTCTAATAGGTCTAACTATTAGGGTATGTATGTAGATGCAAAACACGCCAGCAGATATGCAACAGTTGATTTTCTATAATTCTGAGGCAGACATATCTGTGTTAGTCTAATTAACAAATAATGCGGACCTTCTTTCTTTTCTCCTCAAGGTGGAGCGCTTCTACAATACAGCACTGCTATTGTCGGATCCAGGTTATTTTAACGAAATCGAATAATAGTAACAATAACGACAGAATGATAAGAGAATATACCCGACTATACCAGGATCTGCCTCTTCTGGTACTGTCCCACGTGCACACCCTAACCTGTTATGGCCTAGCTGCTGCGCCACAAATCGGCCGATTCGGACTAACCCAGAATGGTTAGACACGCACGTCCTGACGCGCTGCGGCGATGTCATTGCTCGGCGAACTTCATCTCTCATATTGTTTGATGCCGCCCTCAGGATATCTGCCGCCAGCGCAATCTTCCTTTTATTTCTTTCGTTTTGTGTCCTGCGGTACTGTATATCTTACCACCTGATAGATCTGCAGCTCTGCAGCGGTAGCTGCGACTGCCAAAATGGCTCCTTCAGACGACCTCAAGGCGCACGCCGCCTCGTCCCATGATTTTTACGCCCTCCTTGAAGTCTCCCCCGCCGCGTCGGAGAGCGAGATCCGTCGTGGATACCGACGCGCAGCGCTCAAGTACCACCCCGACAAGATCGCCAATCCAACCCCCGCAGAC